CCCTCTTCCAGGTCCCATTGGAGGTGGATTGGGGAGGCCATGAGAGCATGGCGAGCTCACAGGGTCTTCGAGTAGTAACCGAAGACACACGCGTCGCAAGAAGTGATTGACTTCAACCCGCCTTGATGAGTACTCGTTAAATTCGGACAGGCCTTACATGGACATGCACTGCACACGTCGAGATCAAAATAGGAGGGGCGGGGGGTGGGGGAAGGCGGAGAGAGAGGGGAGGAGGAAATGGGAGGAGAGGAATGAGGGGGAAGAAGAGGAGAAGGAGGGGAGAGGGAGGAAAGAAGAAGAAAGGAAGAGGGGAAACGATCGAGGAGGAGCAGGCGAACTTGTCTTTAGCGGCCCATGCAAGTGAGTAGATCGAGTCAAGCCTGCTGCCCTGCTGCTCCCCGCGCTCCTGAATCAATCCCTGATGCCAAACCATGAGAGCGAAGAGGATGACGAGTAAGAAGAGGACGAGGATGAGGAGAGGCGGGATCTTGGGGAGGAACACCAGGAAGAGGAGAGGGAGGAGGGGGACGGACTGAGCGAGGATGAAGGCTATGAGGAGGAGAGGAGGAGAATGCAGTGTCTTCTGACCGAACGATCGGAGGAGGCAAAGAAATCCTGCATAGCTCCCTCCTCCACAAACGCCTTCGACGTGTCCCATAGACGTGTAAAACCATCGCTTCCTCCGCTCGCTATCAGCTGCCACGACATCACTCGCTCTCCCTTCACAGCCACTTGAGCCCCTGAAGCTGCTGCTTCCTCCTTTCCTTTCCCTCGTCCCATACCCACCTCTCTCACACCGACAATGAAGAACAAGAAGCCACTTCCTCCTCCTCCTCCTCCTCCTCCTCCTGCCCTTGCACTTGCTGCTCTTCCTCCTTCCTCCCTCCCCTCCTCACCCGATCAGACGCAGGGCAGTGGCGGAGGGTCATGATGCTGTGAGCATGCGCGCTGGGGATGCAGAGACTTCCTGCCTTGGTGTTGGCGCGCCTGAAGGTCGATGAGCATCTAGAAATGGAGCAGCAGCAGCAGCAGCAGCAGCAGCAGCAGCAGCAGCAGCAGCAGCAGCAGCAGCAGCAGCAGCAGCAGCAGCAGCAGCAGCAGCAGCAGCAGCAGCAGCAGCAGCAGCAGCAGCAGCAGCAGCAGCAGCAGCAGCAGCAGCAGCAGCAGCAGCAGCAGCAGCAGCAGCAGCAGCAGCAGCAGCAGCAGCAGCAGCAGCAGCAGCAGCAGCAGCAGCAGCAGCAGCAGCAGAGATTCTACCGGAGGTCATGACTTCGGATGCTTCCGTCGTCTCCAGCTGAAGCGAGGAAGTGCTGTCTGCTCGCTTGTCAGTGCTGCCAATAAGACGGGGGACGGGAGTGAAGAGCGAGTGGAAGAGACGCAAACCGAGGAAAGCGGAGGATAGGATAGGATAGGATAGGATAGGATAGGATAGGATAGGATAGGATAGGATAGGATAGTATAGTATAGTATAGTATAGGATAGGATAAGAGAGGGAAGGGGAGGAGAGTGGAGGAGAAGAGAGCGGAGGAGAGGAGAGGGGAGGGGAGGGAAGGGGAGAGAATAGGAGAGGGAAAGGGAGGGGAGGGGATGGGGGAAGTGGAAAGGGAAGGAGAGAGCGAGAGCTCAATCACCGTGAGGGACTGTAGTCGATGTCTCGAACGTTAAGATCATGTGCGTACTTGATGCTGAAAGTTGTTTTTCCCGACCGCAAGTCCAAGCCCACGATCTGCGAAGAGCAGGACGAAGGAAGAGAAGAGAAGGAGTAAGATGAGATGAGTACGACGATGAAAGGGGGAAAGCGAGGAAGTTCAGGAGAATGAGGTGGTGTTGGAGAAGTAGGACGAGGACGAGGACGAGGACGAGGACGAGGACGAGGACGAGGACGAGGACGAGGGCGAGGACGAGGACGAGGAGGACGAGGGCGAGGACGAGGACGAGGACGAGGACGAGGACGGGGATCATGAGCAAAAAGCAGAAGGAGAGTCTAGACTTACCGACTGACCGCAAGCGCAGGCAACTCCAGCAGAGTGAAAAGGATCCCACGAAAGCTGCGTGTGAACCCATCAGTCCCCTCCTCTTCCTCCTTCAGTCACTGCTGCTACTGTCTCTGTGCTTCCTCCCTGCTCCCAAATCTCTGTGCCTCTACTCCTGTACTCCCGATCCATTTCTATACCATTTCAACCTCCTCCTTCCTCTCTCCTCCTTCCTCTCTCCTCCTTCCTCTCTCCTCCTTCCTCTCTCCTCCTTCCTCTCTCCTCCTTCCTCTCTCCTCCTTCCTCTCTCCTCCTTCCTCTCTCCTCCTTCCTCTCTCCTCCTTCCTCTCTCCTCCTTCCTCTCTCCTCCTTCCTCTCTCCTCCTTCCTCTCTCCTCCTTCCTCTCTCCTCGTCCTCTCGCCCCCCCCCCCCCGGCCTCTTTCTCCTCTTTCTCGGCCTTGCTCCGATTTTTTTATTCTTTCTGGGCATATTCCCCTTTCCCTCCCCGACGAGAATTTCCCGGTGCGTTTCAACCCCCAAAAGGTTTGGGTGATCTTTTTTCGGATTTTAACTTTTAGCCCTGAAAACCCAGCTAAGAAGACCAACCAGCAAGCTCGGAAACAGGAGGGGAGGAAAGAACAAAAACAGGAACGGAAAAAAAAAAGTAAGAGAGGAAGGAGAGGATTAAGAGTTAGAGGAAGACGAAAACTCCTAAGAGAACAGGAGTAGGAGGACCATAACCCGA